TTCCCCCGGGTTTAAGCAGAACAGGTTTCCTGCAGGCGGCGGGCGGAGGCGCCCCGGAGGCTCGCGGGAGTCTAGGTGGGGCGGGGGCGGGGGGGCGCGGAGCGTTCCCGTTCCCGGGTCGAGGTGACGGCGACTTCGCGGCCTAGTGTATGGGAATGAGGGGTGGCGGAGGGAGTTTTCGGAGAAATAAAATGAAGCAGCGTAAGTGAACTAAGTTTCACACGAAGAAATCTTGTCTTCAGGAGAATCCGGGTGGGAGAGGGGCACGAAAGGCTCGGCCCTGCTGGGGGCGAGGATCGGCGCCCTCAGTTCCCGAAGGGCCAGGTCGTGCCGGCGGCGGCGAGAGGGGGCGTGGAGCGCGCGGATCTCGTCCACGCATGCGCAGTGCCCCTGAGGCGCCTCCCGGCTCTGCTCGAACCCCGCGTGCCGGGATCTGTCAGCGTGAGGCCGCCGTGTGGCTCCTACCCTGGGACTGGGGCTGGCTGCAGAAAACTGGTATCTTGGGGGCCAATGGGAGCGGCGAACAGGGCCGCCCGCCCCGCCCACCACGCTCGCGCTAAGGCCACTTAAGGCCTTGCGCCCGCTGCGGTTGCTTCTGCGGCTTTACGAGTCCTGCATTCTCCCGCGCGGCCGGGCTCCGCGCCCTGTCCTAGCCCTCGGCTGTCATCCCGCTAGCGCCGCCTGGAGGCCGGAGCAGCCTCCCCCTGTTCGCTGCCTAAGTGTCCTCTGCTGCGAGACGGCTGAGTATAGTTTAGTGAAAAACCTTGAGGTTGTTTCTAACTCTGCCTTTCACTATTTGTGATTGCGACTAGTCCAAACTCTGCCTTAAGCCTCAGTTTCTTCATCTGAAAACTGGGATTGTTTAGAGGCCCAAATGCTATAATGTGAAGAACGCTTTCAAAAGGAGAAAGGCTGGTATGCTGTGAGATACAGTGATTCCTCCAAACGGGCTATTCCTACCTTTGCCTTCAGCTCTTACTAGGCACACCTTTCTCTCTGTATCCTTCTGTCTGGAAACCTTCATTTTTATTATAGATGTTACCCTCAAGGTTTTTAAATATCCTTTGAACATTCCTCTGTCTCCAATAAGCTCCTTTGGCCAAATTTAGTTGTCCTTCAGACTGACAAACTCTTTTTGCTCAGATCTTGTTTCACGAGGTCAGAGTGGTCTTCTGGGTATGGTTTTCCTCTTTGGATGCCTTTCTTAAACCAAGATGCTTTAGAGCCATTGCTACTTTGCTAGACAGTGGAGGAGAGCAAGGAAGGAGGAGAATCCAGTCACCTAGTATCATCCTGTTCAAACCAAGGCGTTCAAGCAAGGACAAAGGTTTCACAGCCGCAGCTATTTCACAGCCCCTGGAGGGGCAGATGGCACAAATAGAGTTCTTCCTTTGAAAGAGATCATCGGGCAAAAAGGGTAACTGGTCCTCAGGTTTGAACATAGCCCACCAAAGAGAAATACATTCGATGGAAATTCTAGGCTGGGCTTGTGGCCTAGTGGTTGAGGGAGCTGGATCCTACCAAGCCAACGCAGGGCTCTGAATTTTAGCCACCTGGGGCTTGAAAACTTGGGACGTGGCTCCTGTGTGTGCATGCCCAAAATTCCAACAGGATGGAGAAAGAAGGGATGGGACCCCACCCACCACAATGGAGAGGGCACAGTCTCTCTTTGTCCAGTGAGCATGCTGCCCTCTGGCAAAAAACAACAAAACAGTGGAAATTTAAGCTTGTGACTCTGCTGGCAGCAGCAATTTTCAGGTTAAAGACCTGGTTGTAGTTTAATTGTTAAGGATGTTCGGCTATTAGTATTTACAAGAGTTTGATGACTTCTCTGGCCAAAAGTGATCTAAGCTGGACTCTCAGGGGTAGTGGAAGCAAATATATTGCAGTAAGACCAACAGTCCTTGAGCTCTGCTGACCACTTTTCTACGTGACCTTGGCAATTCAACCTCTGGGAGTCTCAGTTTCTTTTGTAAGGAATGGAAAGAACATATGGAAACAGATTTGAAAATACCTTTTTTTTTTTTTTTGAGAGTTTTTTGCTATAGGGCGTGTGCACTTGCCAGAAAGACAGAGACAGAGAGACAGAAAGGGAGAAATCACCCCCCCAGGGGGGATGGCCACACCATAATCCCCCGGCATGAGTTTAAGCCACCAGGTTCAGGACTCAAACCGCAGTTGGCTACATGGGAGTCCAGCGACATAGCCACTGCTCCAACTGCTGGTTCCAAAAGTACCAAGTTAATATATATCCTTAAGTGCTTTGTGGGAAATGGTTTGCCCAAAATAGACTACCAACTATGTAATTCATTAATGCTCATGAAATACTTCTTGACAGAAAGTAGTAAATAATAAATTAAGTGGATGAATTCAAAGAAATTATTATTGCTGACAACAGTGGGATAAATGTGACCTAAATTAAGGAATCCACTGATAGCTTTTCTTAAAAAATCAGAATATTAGCTCAAACTTTGTCTTTAGAAAAATCAGAATGTGCCAACAGGAGGATAGAATCATCCTCAGGGAGTTCTAAGCTGATTTCTCAGAGGCATCCTGGGAGGTGATGGAGAAACCAGGGCCCCAGCAGGCAGAGTCCATCAGCTTGTATAAGGCTTTGGGGACCTGAAACACAGAAGGCTCCACAGTCCCAGAGCCTGAAAAGCTGTTCAGCATCTTGGGTTCTTTGGAGGCTAAGTCACAGGGGCCTGATCTATTCTTGTCCCTGAGATTTATGTTGCCTTTATGCTCCTGCTCCATGCTTGAGAACTACGTGAGCGCCGATCACTGTCCGCTACTTCATCTAGCCATTGACCCTTAAGAATTGTTGAGTAAAAAAAAAAAAAAGGAAGGTTATAGGAGTAAGAGTCAAGTAAATAGGTAAAATTTGCATCTTATGAAACTGAAAATATTACCCTCCTCTTGGGATTTTGAGCATACCAATCAATACATGTGCCCAGTGTGTTTTTCACCTATTTTTACCATGTATATTGGACAGTCTCCACAGGAAATAGATGCCATGCTCA